TGTGTAATTGACTTTGCATGGGCTTAAGGAAGGTCTGGCAAGATGTCTAGAAGAGAAATGTATGTGTAATTGACTTTGCGTGGGCTTGAGAAAGGCTTGGCAAAATGTCCAGAAAAAGGATGAAAAATTGATTAAGCTTGGGTACAAGAAAGGTCGAGTGAGGGAGACATGCATGTGAAAAAAGCAGGACTAGAGAAAGGCCGGGCAGAATGGCCTGAAAGAAGTACATGTGAGTTTGGTTGAGGAAAGGATAACAGGAAGTATGGATTGCACGGGCCGAAGAACCGAGTAGAAGAGGCATTAGGGATGACGGAAGCCGGAAAAGAGACCTGGTTGGCACAAGATGGGAGGAGGATCATCCAAAAGGGCGCCTGGGATGACAAGGCTCGGGGGAGAAGCAGGGGCAACGAGAAAAGGAAAGTTGAAAGAAGGCTTGATGTACTTCGGCTGATGAATGAGACGAAAGGAAGCTTGATGTACTTCGGGTGATGAACGAGACGAAAAGGGGTCTAATGTTCTAAAGCGCGATGAATGAGATATGAGAAGCCTGAAGGACAAAGAATGAGACATGAAGATGGTGTCTACCATAGCCAGGTACGTGCCTCGCCACTCTCTCCCTCAACCTCCTTCTTCCTCCTCCTCACACTGGGCTGCTCACATAGCCAGGCTGAGCGCCCAACTACCTTCACCTCCACCCAGCGTTGTAGCAAACCAGCGCTATCACTCCAGCAGCATGACGCCAATCCTTGCGCACCGCAAATGAGGAAGAGCTCTTCGCTCTTCCTGAAGATATAGCGGCCTACCGGCCTCCTGGGCCGTGACTTCCTCGGCCGAGTGGCCTCCCAGCAACCGGTACCTCCTCCCTTTCGGAGGGAAACATCATTGCAGGCTCTGTTATTGTCCGCACAGGCCCTAGACCCGGGCTACTTGGACTGGTACCGGCCTACCTCTAACCTACCGCTACTGGGCCTCTAAAAATGCCAACTTTTTGTCTTCTTCTGCTCGGCCTACCTGCTACTTGAGTGTTTTTCCCCAGCTGCTCTAAGTGTCGTGGGCCTACCCCACCCGCTACCGGCGTGTCTACCCCCCTGCAACCCTCACAGTCACGGCCACAGGTAAGTACCGGCCCGGTGGGGCCTTGCAACCAACAAGTACCCTTGCGGGTCACACACACATACCCAACCAGCAAGCACTTAGACAGGCATGCAAACCAGCAAGCACGCACACACACACACGTGGCAAGCACTCAGACAGGCATGCAAACCAGCAGGCACACACACACACAGACTTGAGACCACAGCAGAATGCGGGGATCACAGCAAGGCATTCATTCCAGTGACAATCCCAGACATCAGCAGTGTTCTCAGTCTGTGTTTTTGGCGGGTCATTACATTTGCATGATTCTTTGCTGTTCCAAATCAAAATAAAAGATTCCTAAGACCGGGGACCGGCGAAGACCGCAATTGAAGGGTCTCGCTCGAAGCCGGACGCACACAACAGGAAGGGATGTGCTTTGATTAATTTATTTTATTTGTTGCAAATAATCATACAAAATCCTGCGTGACAGCCTGTTGGCTTTCTGGCCGCTTGAAGAGGCCCGACTGGAAAAAGTGCGACAGCGGTTGTGCAGGAAGCAGGGCGCTGCTGCGGGCAGCGCCATAGACCAGCCTCCATAGCTGGCTGAAGGGCTTGCACTTCAGTGAGGCGCAGGGGAGGTCTTTGGGTGTACAGAGGGAAGACGTGAGAGTAAGTCAGGGGAAAGAGAGAAGGATGATGATGATGATGATGATGATGTGAGGGCACATACCTGGTATTGGCGATGGTCTGCATCGAGCGACATCTTCAAGTACTTCGTTGGCCGCTGACATCAAGAGTTGCATTGTCAATTAGTAAGCAGACAGTAGCTGTGTAGGAAGTAGGTTGGGCACCGAGCGCTAAGTAGGGAGAAGGGACTGGACTCTTATGTTGGTGGTGGCGAGAGCAAGCTCTCATTGACATTGGTTTTCAGTGTACGAATCTCCATTGGTGTGATATTGGTGCAATGCTGCTTTCTGGACACTGAGATACTATCTGGCTTTCAATGTGACAGTGCATTCTGGATATTGTCATCTCGCTGTTGCTCATTTTCCTTGCAAATAAGGCAAACTAAAATAAAATAAATTAAAATAAAACAAGGCATTCATGCTGTTCAGTCGGAGCTGAAAACAAAATGGACTTTGTCCTTCTTTTTGCTACTGATACATTTGACCTTGCTGCCGCTGGGAGGTTACAGCCTGCCGGGTCTCTGAGCCACGGAGTGATGTCCCGGATCCGGGGCTCTCAACTCTCTCTCGGTGAAGGTCATCGGAACTAGACCTGGTGGTCTCCTTCGTCCACAAGGTAAACAGAGTGGAGTCCCCCGTAACCTTGGCCAACTTGGCCAAGGCCACGAGAGAGAGGAAGAAGAAGACATTTGAAGTAATCAACAATGTTGCGAGTTTGACAAACCAATCATGATCATCATCCAAAATTTCATCCAGATTGTCTGCGCCCAACAAAGGGAAAGCAAATCAAAGTTCATTCAGGCATAAGAACAAGAAGAAAGCAGACGTCATATTTTATATTACGCATCACGATGGATTAAAGGGAGGAGCCAGCTTACGTGGACTTGCTCATTGTCAGCAGCAAAAAGGGCATGTCCAGAACTTTCCGATGGCAAGAACCTGCGTCATCTTCACATTTGTAGGTGAGAATACTTGGCACTGCAGCCTCCTGCACATTTTCCACTTCAGAATTGGCATTGTGAGGAGCCTGGGGTGGCTGAGGTGCCTGACTGCTGACTGACTGTGTTGCTTGAGAATTGCCAGGGTAAGCCTCAGAGTCTTCAACATTATTCTTTTCACTCTTTTTTCCTGTACAATCCCGCCATGCCAGTCCACGTTCATTCTCATGCTGATAATTCCTGTCGGTCCCTGGTGCTTCTGATCTGCTCTCCTGAGAACAATGTGGAATCATCACCCCATCGCTTGGACCATGCAACAGCATGCAGGACTCAGGGTTTTCAATTGATAAGCCAGTCCCAGATGCACAGAAAGGAGTTTTCCACTCATATGGGGACAAATATTGTACTATTCTGTCAGGCACCCCTGGGTCTGCTGATCCCAATATGCACTTTCCATCCATCGTATCCATATTTGCCTTGAGTGTGTTATCTGGCACAGACTCTGAAGCCTCAAAGCATGTCAGGAACTGCTCCATAGTTGTCAAGTCTGCACTCAGTGCATCTTCACCCTCTGTGATGCATTGCTTGGGGTTGTCCATAGAATCAGGCCAAGCATCAATAGGACAGGGAGCGCCAGCTGGCATGGTCTCCATCACTGGCTTGGAATGACCTGGCACATGCCAAGGTGTGCTCAAGCTTGGAGCTCCCTGCATGCCACACCACAGTGAGCAGTTGCAATAAACAAAACGAAGTAGTCAAACTTACCCTTGGAAAAAAATCAGGAAAGGCAATGTGCATGATACATATGCACCATCCAAACAAATGCGGAATTCAGCACGATTCAGCATATGCCTGCGAAATTATGAAACGTCGATAACACCATCCGTGCAGCTTGCAGGAATTTTTATATCAGAGCACACAGACACCCTCCCATGTGTCCATAAGCACCAAACATCCCGCAAACAAAAATTTCACCATATGCAATACCAGAAATCATTACTCATATAAGATGGTGCAACACAAAACGCATGTTGGATGCTCCTCCTCCTTCTCTTCTTCTTCATTGTCTTCTTCTTTTCTCTTTGTGTGTTGTGAACTGTTGCCGCAACAACCCCTTTTCCACCCAGATGAGGAGATCCAGAATTGAAACAGCTTAATGTAATGACCTGACCAAACACAGACTGACACACACAGCTGATTTCTCAGTTTTGCTCATGGACTGAATGCCTTGCTGAGTTTCCCGCTTGTTACTGAGTTCTCTAAGTCACGCTTGCTGGTCTGCATGTCTGTCTGCGTGCTTGTCGGCTTGAGTGTGTGTGTCCCCCGCAAGGGCACTTGTTCATTCAGTGGGCCCGAAGGGCCGGTACTTACCTGTGGCCGTGACATTGAGGATTGCAGCGGGGGAAAACACTCGAAGTGGTGGGGAAAGAGGCCCGCGACACTTGAAGCAGAGGAAAACACTCAAGTAGCGGGTAGGCCGGTACCACACCAGGGAGAGGTAGATGTGCCAGGTACTCGAGGCCGAGCAGAAGAAGACAAAAGTTGGCGTTTTTAGAGGCCCAGTAGTTGTAGGCTAGGTCTAGGCGGGTACCAGTCCAACCAGTCTGAGTCTATGGCCTGTACGGGCAATATCAGAGTCTGCAATGATGTTTCCCTCCAAAAGGAGGAGGTACCGGTTGCTTGGAGGCCACGCGGCCTAGGAAGTCTGTTACATGCTGCGCCTGCAACAGGCTGCACGGGCCCTTCCCAGGCCCATGACATTTTCAGGCCAAAAGCCTGAAAACAAGGGCCTACAGGCCCTGTGTCGTTTCAGCCTCAAAGCCTGAAAACAAGGGCGTACAGGCCTTGTGTCGTTTCAGGCTAAATCAGGGCCTTTCCGGCCCTGAGTGTTTTCAGCCTGAAACTGAGGGCCATTTCCGGACCCTCATGAGTCGGCCTGCCCCGAAACTCAGGCACCAGACCAGGGTTTTAGCTCAGGCCATTTCTGGCCTATTTTCAAGACAACCTTTGTTTGAGCTTCAACCCCAGGGTCTGGCACGTTGAGGCATTGGCAAGAGAAGCCTCCCGGACGGGCCAGCACTATATAGGACTGGCCCGCCCTGCAGGAGGCAGGTAGTTCAAAGGTACTTCCCAGGCACTTCACGTGCAGTTCAGGAGGCAGGAGGCAGTCTTCAGGACTCGGTAGCAGCACTCTGGAGGAACGCTGCAGGAGTAGTATTAGCGCTAGCAGTAGTCTTCAGCGCTGGGCGCTTTGTAGTGCTAGCAGTAGTCTTCAGCGCTGGGCGCCATAGCTAGAGTAGTACCAT